TTAATCAATTATTACTAATTACCATGTTAGTCCAGGTTTTTCATCGTCAGTAACAATTTTATTTCCACTAAAATAAAAAAGTAATGTGTCATGATTGTCATGATCAAAATATAAAATGAATAGAAGCCCATGGTTTTTTTTCTTAAAAATGGCTCCAAAATCACCCCAAATTTTTATTACATTTTCTGATACATATTGATGTCCTTATGCTGTGTAGCAAGTTTCAGCTGATTCCGACTTTAATTTTTTGAGTTATGGCCATTTTAAGAAAATGCCAAAATTCTGAAAAATACCCAAGGCTATAGCAGAGGTTGCACGTCTACTGGAATTTTCGTGTACTTGTATTTACTTGTATTTTGAAAAAAGCAGGTCGTGTATGTACTTGTATTCAATGGCAAACTTTCGTGTATGTACATTTACTTATTGCTTCCCAAATTCGTCTATATTTTGGTGAATTTTCATTTACTTTTCATGTATCCTGTACTTAAATGTTGAGTATTTGAAAGGATAATATCGTTGCTACCTTTTCTATTGCTGTTTTCATCATCTGCTATTCCTAGAAGGACTAAAAAGACCATCAAAGATCCATGGTTAACGATGGTTAAGCAAAGTAACTGCCATTTTGACTGCTACGTGGACACACCCCTTAATTATTAATAGTTAATATAAATACATGAAAATCGTCTCCTCAGACTCCGTCTACTCATTTTTGGTTCTTGTATATACTTGTATGTACTAGAAGACCTGTTTTTCGTCTAAATACTCGTGTATCGTGTATACACGTGCAATGTCTGGGCTATAGCCCATGGTTTTTTTTCAAAAAATGGTTCCGAAGTCACCCCAAATTTTTATTACATTTTCTGATACATATTGATGTACTTATGCTGTGTAGCAAGTTTGAACTGATTCCGACTTTAATTTTTCAAGTTACAGTCATTTTAAGAAAATGCCAAAATCCTACCCAAGGCTAAAATACATGAACTATAGCCCATGTTTTTTTCTGGAAAAATGGCTCCAAAATCACCACAAATTTTCATTACATTTTCTAATACATATTGATGTCCTTACCTCCTCAAGCCACTAATGGTGGTCAGTACTTGTTCAATGATCCCCTCTATATCAGCACAGTGTTCCTTCTTCTCCTCTTGCCACTTCATCAGTCTATCATACACATGATACACTTCAAACACCTCAAGAGCCTCCTCAGTGTCATTAATGAGTGCATTGGTAAGGATCCCTAGACACAGTCCTGATATTTGAATACTGATATTAGGTAGAGTACAGAGTTCTATAAGGAGAGAAGAGAATGATATTAATGAAGATTAATACAATAATAATTAATAGATACATACATGTACATGTATCTATGTATTAAGTATGAAATGTATAATACTGTATAGTGGGAAATTTTGGAGGGAATTAAATTTGGCAAATTGGCGTTTTGATAGCCATTCGCCAAAATAAAAATCCACCATTTTGAGCCATTATACACATGCTCAATGGCACGTGGCCACAAATTCACCAAATTAAAGTTTGTCAATCACCAAAATTTAGCAATTCACCAAATTTTACTCTCTCCAAAATTTCCCACTATACGGTAGTAATTATTAATTAATTGATCATTATTATTATTATCATTATTAATTACCAGTTATTATCTGTATAGCTCCCAGTTGTCTCATTAATACACAGACCTCCTTTGAGTGAGTTAAATTGATAACAGCTCCTAATGAAGCCTCCTTCACTTTATCATCAGGACAATCCAACAACTAGCAACAATTATCATTAATTAAAAATGATAAATAAAATAATGAATAAATACAGCAATGAAGTATATTGTGGTACACAAATGCTGCATGTATGTACATGTACATGTTCAAACTTCATGTACATCTGTACATGAAGTTTGAACAGGTTAATTCACATTGTGTCCAACTGTCCATGTGTCATTGAGCATGTACATAATGGTACAAAATGGCGTGTTTTAATTTGACAAATAGCTACTGTATAGCTTGATATTTTCGTGGGTCGATATTTTCGTGGTTTGCTCCTGGTGGGGCAATTTGCGGTTTAATTTTTGTGGTTGACAGTTTACATAGCCCGTAAGGGGATGGCACTTCAATAATTTCGTGGGCTTAAATTTCGTGGGCAGCCCATAACCACAAAAATCACAAAATTTACATTCCACAAAAATTTCAAGCTATACGGTATTACATGTATATCAAAATTTTATCGTAGAGCGCAAAATTTTGAGGGCTGTAAATTTTGTAAATTTGCCTAAAAAATCTATCATGTAGATTTAATATTTGTGAATTTATACCGTCCACCATCTTGTGTCCTAATAATTTTGATTTTTGCGGGAGTAATTTTCACAATTCTTCAAAAATTGCAAAATCCGCGGAATTTACAGCCCTCAAAAATTTTGCACTATACGGTGTATTTTTCTTCCTCCAAATCACAAGCTATACAATAATTCATAATACATTTTTAGAAAATCAAAATTATAAAATATTATATTATTATTACCTCCAGCAGTAAAGTGACTCCTCCGGTTACTTTAATCTCTCTTCTGTACAGTTCCTTCTCAAAAGCAATGTTCCCCAGTATAGCTGTGTATAAAGGATCATGTGACAGTCATGTGACACTATAGACTCATGCTACAGTACCTGCTGTGTGTCTCAATATTGTGTAACTCTTTGGAGGAGAGTCCATTCCTAACAGAATACAGGGAGCAGCCTACAGTGAATAATACAATAATTAATAATAATAATATTGACTATAGTACATGTACATTTAATAGTGCAATCTGTAAAATTAGCCAAAAACTAATATAAATACATGTACATGCAGTAATTAGCCAAATGAACTTTCCATTGGTGTACATGTATGTTATAAATAAACTAATGTATTATTGCCAGTCAATTGAATTTAATTAATTATACATGTACAGAGATGAAAATAAGGTTTTAGTATTAATCTGCAACTTTTCAGATTTGCTTTTGGTCTGACAGCATGAAGCAATGACAGGACACTTTTTTAATGCAGCAATTATCATGTGTATCGTATCATTTAAATCTCTTAAAGAAATGCTTTTTGTAAAAAAATCACTGAGATAACAAAAGTTCAACAATTACATTTAATCAGTAAACTAGTTGTCCCAAATATCAAGAGAAAGTTCTGGTTCCGATGTAGCCAATATAAGCTTTTTTTTAGACGGAAACCAAGTAAAATTAGTCGGTTTTTGGCTGTTTTCAGACTGTTATTTTTATCCCTGCATGTACATGTACATGTATATTAAATTTGAAGCAGCTATAGAACACAGTGATTTCATTGGCTCAAAATAATTCTCAGAACCAAATCAAAACAAAGTTAAAATTCCCCTCCCCCCTACCTGTGGAGCAATCCCACGACAAGAATCAGGAAGGACCATCACATGGTTCAAAGGAACGGAGACTTCAAAACCATAATCAAGACATAAAAAGGTGTGGTCACTTCTCTTCTCTTTTGAGTCATCGTTCAGTAGCCACCCCCTGTACCAGACCCCCTCACTCCACACTGCATACACTCCAAATGAGAGGGGGAGGGGAATGGGCGGAGACTCAATGGAGGAAGGGTGTGGCTAAGGAAATTAAAATATTATAATTTTAAAATTACATAAACCAAAATACATGTACAATGCAAGTACATGTACATGTATATGCATCAGATAATG